GTAGCGACAGGCCGGGGAATCGAGGGCCTATCCCGCCCGCGGCGGGGCACGGCACGGCGCCCCGAGGGCTCGGGCCTGGAGGGGCAGCCGCGCTCCCCTCCCGCCGAGCCGGGCAGCCCCGCGCTACGAGGGGGCTGAGCCCTTCGAGGCGGCGGGGAGAGGGGGGCTGCCAACCCGGGAGGGGCCGCCCCACCGACGGCCTGGCCGCTAGAGCGCGGTGTCCCCTGCAGGCCGCGGGCGGGGGGCACCGCGTCCGGGCCGCCCCACGCCCTCCGGGGAAGCGGGCGGGAGGAAACGGCCTCCCCTTCCCCAGCCCTGCCTTCCCCCGGGGCCGGGCTGTCGCCGGCAGGGCCCCTGCCCCGTCGTGTGGGGCGGCAACGGCCCTCGGGGGAACTGCAGAGCTCACTGGCGTGGGGCCGTGGTAGCTTTGTGTGGAGTGGTCTCTGCCTTTGCAAGGGGCTAATGGCATGGTTACCAGCTGCAGGAGGGGCGAGAGGGTCTCGGGTTTGCCTGGCCACCCTCTGGTGGCCTGTGAGTAGCTACAGGGGCTACTGAGGAAGGTGGAGGAAGGTGATGGGAGCATGGCTGAGCAGGCTGCTCGTTGCCTGTAGTGTCTGGGCAGAGGCCGGCTCTGTCACACAAAGGTATCGGTAATAACTCCAGAGATAACATGGGGATTCAATAAAAAGTTATTATGGCTGTTTGGTTACCTTTAAGGAAGGGCAGACTAAAAACACCTTATAGAGTGGAAGCTCATACACTGACACCTTCCTAAATTTAACTTTCTTACCGCAAGAAACTTAAAGTCTGGTGATTTCTGGAATAAGTGTCCATGAAGGATCTTAGTGTTACTAATAGGGATTCCTTTATCTATGTGCGCATGCAGCTTTGGAGATATACATCCGTGTATCTTGTGAATATACATATATTTATATACACATATATATGTGTATATACACACTTGTGTGCATTGGAAGGGAATGCTGATTCATCTATTCTAAAGTTCACAGATGTGCTGGAGTTGGCATGCTGGTTGGTACTGGTCCTTCTCCAGTATTAAGTAGAGCTATGTATTTCTACTTACAAAGTGCTACAGAGAACTCAAGTGCATCTCTTGTTGCTTTTTTATTTTCCATAGTAAGTGGTGGAAACACCATCAGTATTTTCTGTTCTTGCTCAAGAAAGCCTCTGGAGATACTTCAGGTCGTGTCATACCGTCGATGCACTGGCTTATGTTGACATCCATTTTTTAAGGTAGAAGCATAAAAAGTTGAGGGCTGGAAGGGACTTTTAAGAATCAATTTTGTCCAAACTGCCTGAGTCAAGGTAGGTGCAGTGAGAGAACAGAGGCAGATTTCCCATAAAGTGGACATTTAAAGAAGTGTATGTAAAAGGAAGGCTTTCAAACTACATCTAGTTTTCAATTTCCTAACTCCTTGTAAAGCTGCAGAATGTTTAAAGGGGGTAAGCTTTTCCTCCGTATATAGAAGATAAATAGTACTACTCTCCTAAATTTCATTAAATGACGTTAAAAGCAAGTTAATAAAAAAAGGCAGGGGTGGGAAGAAGATGCTCAAGTTACATGTGTTAACAGTGCACAGCTTTGGGGTAATTAATAACAGACTACCTTAAGTCTGACCTTGTACGGATGCCCTGAGAAAAATGAAGAACTCTAATTATGGTAACTGTTTTTAACAAAGTTTTATGTTATCTGTGGCCATAAGATTTAGACTACTTTATGTGACAGCAACAGCAGGCAGGTGCTTTGTTCTTCAGTCAAGAATAAGAAATTAAAAGGCAAAAAAATCATGGATACTCTGTTAGATTTCATGCCATTATGAGCCCAGGCCTCATTAAAATTACACTCAAAATACTCCTTTTTTTAAGGTAATACTTAATCTTGAAACTGAGAAATAGCAAAAGCATGACAAAACAGTGAAAAGGCAAGCTCAGATGAAAGATAAAGGACGGGTATAAGCTGACTCTAATGTGAAGTTTTCTAGAAGAGTTGCTTCAGAAGACTTCCAAATGCAGATAAAGCCTTAGAATAGATGGCATGTGGGTCTCTCCTCCCTCAAAATAGTCAGTGTGCTGAGGTAAGGATGAGATGTTAGATGCTTCCATCTGCGCTTATAGCAGCTGAGAGAGTTAACGGGGATTTTGGAGTGTGTGAAACGGGAGAGCGCAAGCAATCTTTTCAGTTGTTCAGTCTTAGGTAATACATATATTCTTAACCTAGAGAAGTCTGCTTCAGCTAATTGACTTGTTAACAACTTAGCCCTTATTAGAGCTGTTTTAAGTGCTCTGATACAGTGCATTCATAGTGGCTATACTGATGCCATTTAGATGCTAGCCTGCATCCAAATTAGTGCTGTTCTCGTCAGTCTTCGCTGGAATGTGTTTTTTTTTGGGTATGTGTCCCTTTTTCTTTTTTTTTTTTTTGTTTTGGGTGTATCTCCCAGAAGCAAGTCTGTAAGGCAAATGATTACTGTTTCAGTAAACATTTCAAACTGCTTAACAAGGTTTATATTACAGTTCCAGATAGTTTTCCGGTTAGGATTTTGGAGAGAACTTCAGTGTAGACAAGCTTCAGCAGGCCTTTTGAAAGCATGTTTGAAGCTTTTTGCTATCTTAACTTCTTTAGATCTTGGGTTGGAGGTTACACATTTAATGGTAATTAATTTTGTTCCTAACCACTTTTTCAAGTAAAAAAGATGAAGTCAACAAGTTGGGTTGGGGGCCAGTTTGTAGGCTTTTGCTGTACTAGTGTGGAACTCAACAGTGTCACTTTAGAGAGGGGGAGAGAGACAGAGAGACACTAATGTTTTGGGACAGGAGTGCTAGAAGAGGAGACAGGCATAAGAACAAGAATTAAAGAAAAATGAGAGAAATGAAAGGAGGAGGTGGATACTTTGGGGAAGATGCGATCTGACAAGTAGAAAAGACCTAGCTGTAGAATGACACAAGGGAAAAGGAAAGCTTAACATATTAGAAATGTGTAAGTGGGCTGAAATTAGTTAAAACTAGCTGCTGGACGGAGTTGAAAGTTTTAATTGGACAAATTGTGTCCTTGCAACACTTTGTATACTAGGCGGTGCTATTTTTCTGTCAACAATTTGAAAAACACGTGACTGTCCGTGCGTGGAAATAACATTCACCATGCAATGATAGGCAACTGACTTTTTCCCTCAGATATGCCAAGCATCTCCTTCTGCAATTTAATTTCTTAAAAATCATTTTTACTTAGTCTGTATTGTAGACTTTCTTCCTCCCATCCTCAAGTTCGGTGGATATGTTTTCCTGTTTGTTTATCTGACTGTCATTTTTCATGCCTGCTATCTCTTACAAACATTAGTATCTTTATCAGAACCTCCCACTTTTTTTTCCCTGCTTTAAACTGCACTTGCAAGATAACTTCTGGGAAGTAGTGTAATCTGAGACTTACTTAATCCATGTATATGTTCTTTTTTTCAGCTTCTTTTTCCCTCACCAGCTAATGCAAAAATTAATACCTCTTCTGTGATCATAAATTTGTAGGGATACGGGAAAGTACTGGAAATCAGTCTGTCATTTGGTTGCCATGTAAATTTGAAGGAGTATGAGCCTAAAACAGGGGAATGAGGTGACTTCAGCAAAGGTAGTGGAATATTTCTTCTGAACTGAGGGAATTGCCTATCAAGTGCGTTTTAAAGAGGGGCAGTCTTGATCTTAGTCTCTTTATATCAAGCAGAATTCTGTATGAGGAGGGATCTTAGGTCCAGTTACTACACAACACTTTCATTAGTGTCTAAGAAGCTATAAAATTTGAAGATGATACCAGGACAGACAGCAATAATTTCAGAGGTTAGGAGTTGAATTTAAAGTTAATTAAGAGACACTACCTAGAAAAAAATGTCATGTGTTTTGATAGGGACAAGTGCAAACTACAGCACCTGAATAAAAATGGTAGACTTTACAAATGCACTAAGGAGACTAGACCATTGTCATGTAGAAGAGGATCCAAATGTAATAGTAGATCACAAAATAAATATCATCAAACATGGCAAAGCATATGAAGTAATCCTGCTTTATTTGGTGCTGTGGGGCCTCAGATGGAGCTCTGTGCTTGATTTTGGGCACTGTAGTTTGAGAAAGATGTGGCCAAACTAGAGGAAGTTCAGAAGAGGGTATGAAGAATGATCGGAGGTCTAGAAGAATGAAAGACTGAAAGAAGGGATCCATTTAGTCTACAGAAAGAAAAGCTGAGTAGAGATGCAAGTCATAAGCTGCATAAAAGTGTTTTTAATTATTATTACATAAAGTTGTAAACTCTTCTTTGTCCACTGGGAACAGGACAAAGAAATGGCCTTAAATTATAGGAAAAAAGATTTTAGGATGCTGTTTGATCTTACACTTCCCCTTCATCCTGTAGTTACTCGCTTATTTCTCCTCTCTATTGTTTGTAATGTGGTACTCTAACAGCTGGTATGATGGAAGCATCTGAACAGGGGGAGGGAATAGGGAGGGAGAGGTGGTTTGTCTGACAGCTGATTTTCTGTCAGGTCAACTTCTTTACCCTACTCCCCCTCTGGCTGCATCACCACTGAATTCAATGGGAGGGAAAAGAGCAGGAGCACATGGCATGGGGGAGTGGGATTACATGTAACGTCAAACTGCACCCTTGGGCTAGATATTAGGATAATCTGCCTAATGGCAAGGATAATGAAGCACTGAAATAGGCTGTCTAAGGAGGGTGTGAAATCTACCTCAGTGGTGTGTTTTTAAGAACAAACTAGTCACACATCTGGGAATAACTCTGATGCAGTCTGGCCTTTGTCCACGGCTGGGGTCAACTAAGTGATCAACTTTTTGAAATACAGTCTGACCCCACTTTCTGTGCTTCATGGAACTTCTCAAGTAGATACAAGCAATAAGATTAATCTTTTATGTTATGATTTAGAAGCGTTGCCCACTTGACATGTAGTTTCTTCATTGACTGGACCCACTATATGGGAGACAAAGAGGAGTAGCGGTCTTGAGCTTTGTCCACCATCAGCAAGGTTAATGCACTTTAAAACTGCAGTTTTCAAGTCCTGACTGGTATGATTTTGAAGTCCTTCTGTTAGCACACAAGAGCTCAAGTATGTTTCATGAGCAATGCAGGTACTGTTGAGACTAGATTTGCTTTTGGCAAGGATATGTTCTGGCCCCCTTCAAACCATTTTAGGACTAACAAGAACAGTCCTGGACTACAGGTAGACCAGTGTAACTGTGAGGTAGACTCTTCTTCCAAATTTAATTGTGTATAAATTTAGTGATTACCTATTTAGAAGATAACCAGATCAGGAAACTTTCTGGGGGAAGAACTAGTCCAAAAGCAGGGCAAAACTAGAATGCTTTGGTTTAGGAACTGTGGAGGCAGTGAACTGTTTGTGCTGAAATATATGCCATGCTGAGTCATTTGGGACCTGTTCAGTCATCTAGAATAGGCATATACCTATAATACCTATAATGCTTGTCTGTGGTACTTAAAAAACCAAAGCCCAAAACAAACCAAACAACCCCAAACCCACCAAAGAAACCTCACCGAGCCAAAACAAAACAAAAGAAAGAACTTTTTTTGGGGGGGAGCCCTTCTTTCCCCTCTTCCCCTTTCAAATCTTGAGGTAGGCAGCAATCAGAAACCATTCTGAAGCAGGCAAACTGTGAAGAAGACAAGGCACTTCTAGGAGGTCCACTTTGGTTCACAGGAGCTACAGGATTGTCAAGGGTGAACACAAAATGTTTGTCTGCTTAATCTACTTCAGGATAACTATCCCAAGATTTGAAATGCAAGCTTTCTTTTTAGGTAGGTTGTGTTACATATCTTCTCTTCAACATTAGTCAGAGGGCCCAAAGCATTAACAAAGTATTCCAGTAACTTGGGGCAGGGAAGAAATGTGTGTTTATGTATTTTTCATTCATGTGTGCTTGTGAAAAAAAAAGTAAAAATACTGGAATATTGCTCTCCTCTACATCAAAAGTAACATGGGAAAGTGATAAAATTTCCAGTCTCTCTGACCACAAATACTTCTTTGGTCTGACTTCTCTTCCTGTCTCCATTTGACTTTGAGTGTAAAAGCAGGTTTGACCCATAATGGACACTGAAGTACTTGACTAACTAAATCTTTTGAAGTGTGGTTCCTTTCTGAAATGTAACTGCAGAATGGCATTGTACGATTCTTAGCTGTGTCACACACACTTTTACTTTTCAAATTGTCGGTCATACAAAATAAGATAGAAGTGAAGTAATTTCCACTGCATAGATGTCAAACATTACTTCTGGTACCATGAACTGATGAAAAATTACAAATTCAAGACTTTATGTGGGGCTTCATTTTCTAGAAAATCCATGTGTGAAGCCTTGGTGAGTAAGTTATTTTCGTATGAGGCCATATATCCAGGTTTCCCAGATGTGTAGTAAAGCTGTTGCTGTTGGTATATGCTCTATATCAGGTCAAGAGCATACCCTTGCCATACACAGTTACTCTCTTTTGGGGAGCATTGCAGAGTTATCACGAGTTTGTGCGGTGGGTCCACTGCTTTTTGAAAAGTTCTGAGTGGCTTCTGCTTTACGTGTTGTGGAATTGGTGTATGTGCTCTATAAATCCACCACAAATTGAAAGCATCTGAATCTACATTCACTAATCAACTGTACAGAATGAGTGCTCTAGGCCTGGAGTTTCCTAAAATTCTCAGACTTGTAACTTATGTTGCATAATGTGCATGCATGTGTCTGATGAATCATGGTTCCTTTCTGCAGGGTGTAAAAGGTCTATGTATTCACACTTTCTTTGCTGTCTCCCTGTCCATATGTGTGTACCTTTCTTCCCTCTAACTTTGAAGAGTTGCGTTTTGGTAGTGGAGATTGCATTTGCTGGATTGCACCTCTCCTGGTTTCAGTCACATAAGGCTTGCCTTGCCTTTTCTTGGGTACATTTGCTTGTAACACTTCTTGCTCTCTTCCATGAGGATGCAGAGACTGGTAAAGTGTCTTTCTGCCACAGATCCTCCTCTGTGGTTGGAGACATTGGTGAGGCTTTTTCTTTCTGCTGGAACTGGCCTTAAATCAGAAGTATTTCTGGAGTAGCTGAGTTGGAATTACAAGGGAAAATACTTCCAATGCAGTTAACATTATCCTTTTATTAAACACTTCTGTTTCAGTGGGGTATGAGAGGAATAAAACTGAGGCATGAAACTGGGTTGTAAAAGTTCTCAAAGACGAGTATGTGCAAGGCAATATGTAGACGCAGAAGGGACAGAATTGCATGAGTGTGGGGAGCATTTAAAAGCTGCTGAACGGTGGAACATGTGCCACCACAAAGGCAAACATGATTCTCAAACAGCTGTAGCGGATACTCAGTAGCAGGGCCCTTTGTACCAAAGTCACGTGTCTGGGAAGAGAGAAGGAGAGACATCAGGATTTAGTAGGAAGAGTTGTTTCTTAGCTGGAGGCAGAGGAAACGGGTAGTAAGGTATAGGAACTTACTAAAAAAGAAAGTTGTGGCAACTTTTAACAGTCAAAGACTTTTCTGCATGGGTTGCAATTTATCCCGCTCCTACCGTACTGTATGTGTGCTAGAAACCACAGTGGTGTTTGTTGTCTTTGGATATCTTCACTGTTTTGGTTCGTATCTGGACTAGGTGCGTAGTGGAAATGAATATGAGTTTGCTGTTAGACACCTGGATGGCTGTGCTATAAAGTAGGAGGATGTGTAGACTTTCTGCAGTGGTTTTGCAAATTGTTTTGCTATGGTAACAATTAACAGCAGCGTGTTACTTTGTTTTGCCCTGAAATGTCTTTTACAGAAGTCTTGAAAGACAATATGTGTAATCTGATAGAAGCAATGTTGATGTTCACCAGCCTTAAACATTGCTTAAACTGTTTGCCAGGTAGCGATAACATTAAGACCTGGCTGCTGGCAGCTTTGAAAACTAACCACTCTAAGTGTGACAATCACTTCTTGATTTTAGTGTGACTAACATGGTCATATGTTTTAGCAGTCGTGTATTTCTCTGTCTCCTTAATGCAAGCTCATCTGCAATCACTAAGGTGAAAACACAACTTTCTCTCCTATTTCTAGATGGAAAGGAATCTAAGGTCCCGTCAGTTTCACTGACCATAAATTACTGTGAGTTTTTATGGACCCATCATATTTGACTCTTATTCCTGGTAGTTATCAAATGCATCACAAATCTTTTTATCATGTATTCTTGTTTGCTCTGTAAAGTGTAAAATCAGGAGGAGGAAGAATATACAATTAATTTCATGGAGCATGGGTAAGCATAACATGCAGCTGTACTGTCTATCAAAGTGATTGTCACAAAATCTGTTAGGAGACTTAAAGACTGAAAGACTGTTAACTTAAAGGATGTTTGACATAACTCAGTTCCATGGGAAAACTTCTTAATAGCATCATATGATGCAAAAAGTTTTAAGAAATCTGATTAACAGTAGTCATGAATTCTATTTATGCATTTACCTCTTCTTGAAGTAAACCGCAGACCAATTAATTTCAGTTTCCTTTTGTCTCTGTTTCATGCCTTTTTCCTTCTGGATAGCAGCTCAGAAGGCACTCAGTTAGTGCTTTTGATTATGCAAAGAAGCAGTAAAATGTTTTAACCGAAATCAGCATGTGGCACTTTTGACTTGTGATGCCATTCTTTTTCATTTGTTATTAAAGAGAAGTACAAAAAATATTTTGATTCTGACTTTAAGAAGCTTCATTCAAATTTTTACAGGCCTCCAAAATTGATGTTGAGAGTGCTGTCCAATACAATAGTATCATGACTTTTTTTCTGTTCCTAATAAACAATAGTTGAATGCAATTGAAGCATGAACAGAGTCTAAGATTTATTTTATATCTGAATGTTTACCAGACAAAGAAGGAGGCATTTAAGTATATTTGTGCATAGAGCTCTGAACTGAGAACTGCACCTAGGCAAGCAATTAGAAGTATATCAAGTTTTAAAGTGAGAGTTGAACTTCTTTTCCACAGTTAATCTCTTTGTCAGGAGTTTGTCTCGGAAGCATCTGTCTTAACCTTCACAAATCTAGACGTGTGACATAACTGTGCATGCTGAAGACTTCTGACTGCTTCAGTATAACTTTTTTCTGGCCACAGGTCAGTCCTGTAGCCAACCTGTGCTATGAAGGCTTTGCAAAGACTGCTAGAGGAGATACAAGTGTCAGTGAAAGGGGAAATAGTTTCTGTTTTTGGAATAACATAAGCAATGCTGCAACGAGGAGTTGGTGTAGAAGCATTTTGCCAACTTGCATATGTTGATTTGGCATGTAATTCATCTACAGCTTGCCACAGAATTTTACATACCAGTAAAATTCTGAGTCTCCAGGTCGCTATAGGTTGTCACTGTGTGTTGGCAGAGTGGCAGCTGTTTAATCCAAACTCTTCTTGCTGATTCCTGTGTTTTCATTAATATTAATTGAATACCTGACTGCATGGCATCTTAATGTAAATGCGTGTCTATATATCAAAACCTTTGTGAGGTATAAATTCTTTTGTGCTAATTAGGATTTCAGCAAAGCCTTTTATGAGTAACTGCAGAGTTAAATAACTTGTCTGTCATCAATTTACACACAGCTTGGGCAGTAATGCACATTTCCTTTCTTTCTTCTAGGAGGGGATGACCGCCGAGTCTTACTTTGGCATATGGAAGAAGCCATCCACTCAAGAGTTAAACCAGTTCAGCTGAAAGGGGAGCATCACTCTAATATCTTCTGCCTAGCTTTCAACAGTGGCAATACAAAAGTGTTCTCTGGAGGTAAGGAAGGAAAAGCACCCTGATTTCACAGGGGTTTGTATTGTGAATGCCTTAGAATAGAAGCCATGAGCAAGATCCTGCCCCACATGAAAAGTCTTTTCCATAGTCCCCTGAGGAGCTGGGGGGTGTCCTTAATCATCAGCTGAAGGTTCTTTGAGAACAGGAAATTCTTCAGCTAGCACAACATTTTCAATTTTGTCATGCTTCTCGTTTTCCCAAACCCTGGTATAAGCGCATCATTTCTTGCGCTATCATGAGAATCCTGGCTCCAGTTTGCCCCTACTTGTGCTGCAGACTGTGGAACATGGCTGTTGTTATTCCCCTTAGCTGTCCTGAGAACAGGCCCTGCATCCTCTCTAGCACTCAAGCCTGATGCTTGAAAATCTCTGCTGCTACTAGCTGATTTTAATGAGCCCTTAGATTGCTAATGAAGGGCTATTGCCATCTATTGGTGAATCACTTTTTTTCAGTCCTGGTTTCAGTCCTCACTAAGTAAGTGTCTGCCTTTTAGAACTGTTGGCTCTAATTTGCCTTGATCACTTTGCATCTCTTTTATTATAAATCAACAGAAAAACAGAAAGTTTAATTCAGCCTTAAAACTAGTATAAGGAAAGTGGACTTGTACTCATTCTGGGGTAATAGTTCGTAGAGTTTAGGCTCATTTCACCACTTGATTTTTGAAGTGTTGAGGTAGGAAGGAAAATTGAAGTGAGAAGAAAAAGGCACAAGAGAGAAAATGAAGTACAGCAGAAAATAACACTGACTGTATTTTGATGATCTGATATGATAATAGAATGGACAGGAATTTGTATATTTCATCAGTATGTCCATTAACATACAACTAAACTTATTTTAGGGTATTATGAGACTACTTGGTCTGAGCCCGTCATTGTCTTTTTGAAGCAATATTTGTGAACTGGAAATCAATGCTAGAAATTGATTCTAAGCCCACGTGAACGGTGGAAGCTTCCCAGCCTTCAGTGTTGTGTTAAAACAATAACAACCCTTAGAAAAAAAGACATGACAAAGCTTAAGATGGTGTCAAGTTTTAGGGATGAAATGATTCAGATATACTTCTCAGCTGGAGAAGATACCCAAAATGTCAAATAGTGATCCCAGTCTTCTGATTCTGGGGACTGCTGTTTATTTTTTGAGAAAGACGGCAGTCCACACTGTCTTCAAATTAATGTATCTGTGTGCGTGATTGCAATGAAATTTTGGGCTGAAGTCTATTTTACTTAAGTTTGAATTCAGACAAATGGAACCTTACATGAATATTCAAGGAATGAACTGTGCTAAATCTTGCTGGAGCATTTGTAGTGGTATTTTGTCCTTTCCAACTCAACCCTCTATCCGTTGGGCCCTGCTGTCAGAGACTACTGCTTTCACAGAAAGGGCAGCAGAGTGGTTTGACTGTACCATGCCACTGCAATTAACACCTGCAGTTAAGGATTAACATCATTCATTATGGTGGATTTTTGACAAGATGCCAGGCTAGATGAGCTGTGACAGCTGATGCACAGACAAACTGGTCATTCTCATCTTTTTTTCCTCCTCCAGTTTGCATAAACACACTGTGCCTCTGCCAGAAATTATTTCCATTGGAGGAGTCAGGAACTCTTTCAGCTGCTCCACCAAGACTCTCAGAGCTCATCTGCAGGGGCTGTGAGTCTGACTCTTGGATCCCTTGTTAAGAGTCATTTTGCTGCATGGCCTAGATGTACCATCTGTTTTATCTCTGTCAGTAAAATGGGGCTAACTATATTTATTCACTCTACAGTGTACTGGATTCTTAAAAGGTCTGAGAGAGTTGTCTGTCCTAAGATCTATTGGTTGTCACACACACACACACACCTCCAATACTGAAGTTGGAGTGATATTCAGATCATGGAAGTCAGAATACTTAAAAAAAAAAATTTAAAAATTACATTATGGAAACTAGCACAAGGTGCACAGAACTCAGTTCATTCTGTAAATAAAGCTGCCAGTGACTAATGGCTTAGGATCTGATGACCTTTCCCTAAAGCAGCTCTTGATAGCAGAGGAGAAAGGATTTTCCACTTCAGTACAAATTGAATTGCATCCAAGGAATTTCAGAGCTCTGTGCTTTGAAGGAGCGCATGCGTAGCAGGCACCACATGTAGCCGTTACAAAACTGGAAGGTAGAAACTGAGTGGACAGTGTTTTGCCTGTAGTCTCTGGAGACAAAAAAGCCTGTCTTAAGATACCAAAGAAGTTCCCATCCCTGAAGAATGCTGTTTCCCTTCCACACACACTCAGACTAGAGCAGCATTTGAAATTAAAGACCTCCTCTTAGTAAACTGCATGGACTTTTTTTTTTTTGATGCAGTGATGTTTTCTGCAGGGATGAATCCTTAGCAGAAGCAACCAAGCAGTTTGTGGTTAGATTTTTGTCACCGGCTTCTCCTCCTACACACTAAAGAGAGAAGCAGTGGTTATTCCACACACCCCCTCCTTTTGTTCTTTCGTTCCCATTTTGGAGCTTGTGATGGAAGGGAAGGTCGATCCCATGATGACTAGAGGCCTGAAGCCAGGCATCTAGAAGGATTCTTTTGCTCATAATGTATGGAGAGTGAGGAGCAGGAGTGTCTGCTGGAGGAATTTTTGTCACTGGAGAAACTAGGCTATCCTTTTCACTGATGAAATATATAGGCACAAGAGTAATTTTACTAGGTATAAACCTTGCCTGCAACATATAATGGGCAGTTTCCATTGCAATTAATGATCAAAGGATGCTTACACATAAGTGACTTGTTTATTGTACCATGGAAAAGATGAGCTACTGCAGTGATCTAAGGCTGGCACAATTTAACTAGGAGCCTGTGCAAAGAGCAAGTGGATGTAGAAAAATCTTGCACCTCATTAGTGAAAGAGAAACTTTCTCATATTTCTTCTGTTGGGACAGAATACAAGTTGAAATGTGTATGGGATAAATGAAAACAGAGTCATCTGAACACATAAGAATCATAACATAAAATCTTGCTCCTTCTGAAGTTTTGGTGTACATGAGGAAAGCTTCACAACTTGATTCTGCAGCAACAATTCCAACGACATACTGAGCATGTGAATATGACTTTGTGGGCTTTCTGGTTTTTTCTTCTGAATTAAATATAAACGGTGTACATGAGGAAAGCTTCACAACTTGATGTCACAATTCCAATAACATACTGAGCATATGAATGTGACTTTGTGGGCTTTCTGTTTTTTTCTTCTGAATTAAATATAAATGTGCGTTTCCTTAAATATTTCTAAAGAGGAGGTGCCAAATTAGATAAATTAATATTCAGTGCAGAGACTTAAAAAAAAACCAACTCTGTTGCTGTAGCTAGAAGAGCACTGCATGAGCCAGTGGAATTACTTTGTAGCTGTGACCCTCTCAGTGTGCATGCATGTGGTTAGTGTCCATTGTATTCAATGGATGCGATCAAAGAAAAGTGACAGGATTGTCTGGTTACTTGGTTTGGTTTTTGTTAATACAAAAGAAATCATACTGGCTGTCATGTTCGTGCCTCCTCAATGGTTGCAAAACCCTGAATGCTGACAGTGGGAACTGGCGACATCTGAGCTGGGAGTCCGGTGCATTTTGCTTATGGCATCTCTTTTCACCTTTCATTATCTTTTTATGGGGCTTCCTCTGAGCAGAAAAAAAGGTGTATTCACATCAGAGTTAAAGGTGTTCTGCTGCGTCATGTAATAGTCTTCTCTTTACTGCAAATGTTGCAAAACTCAAGCTCAAACTGAACAAAGAATGGTCAGTAACACAGTCAAGTAGAATTATTTGTTGAGCAGTAGGAGGTGGAATGGATTAGTGCATTTGATCGTAACTGGAAATGTCACATGGAGCCTTTCACATAAATGAGCAGAGGGCTGACCACTTGGCAACTGAACTGGTCTTCTCTCTGCTTCGGTTTTGGTTTTGAAATAGAAAATTAAAAAAAAAAAAGACATTTGTTGTTTTTTATTTCTTTCACTATACTGCTTTTTAACCACTGGAACATGATTTTAAGTGTTTATATTTCTCTTTATAGGCAATGATGAGCAAGTTATACTCCATGATGTTGAAAGGTAAATACAAAGTTTGTATTTCCACTTCTTCAAGATCTCCATTAATGTCAACTCACTGGAGGAACTTTTTGTTTTAAATTAATGGTCTGGGAGAAGAGCACAGTTTCAATCCTGAAACATGCCTTTTATTTATCTAAATTCATATCTGGAATGAAGTATTCCCCATCACCCCATTTATGTGTTTTGGTGGGTTTTTTTGGCACTCGGGTTGTGCATTGTTTTGACCTTAGGAAAGAGAATGGTTATTAAATACATATGCTGTCCTGCAGGCAGCATAGTAGGTTCTGGGTAGATACCAAGCCAGATTATTTTGGCACATATAGAAATATTGTGGGACATATGGGCTTTTTGTTTGGTTTTTCAAAACACTCACCTGACTTGTATTTAAGAGAGCCAGTGCTTGGCCTACCTAACTGCCTTTTCAAACTTTGGCTGCAGCTGCCTGATTCTCCAGACTAATGTGAAGCATATTTATTTTGATACTTGCTTTTTACCAAAAATGCAAAGCAATTGGGAATTAGGCTTTGTTGTGCTATATCAAGATTAGGGTGCTAGTCAAAATATAATTAATACAGTAGTGGTAATATATTAGATTGGAGTTCTCTAGATACCCTGTCTTTTAAGCTTGCTGCTTTTCAAGTAGAAAAACTGTAAAGTTTAAATTTTGGCCTGTACTAATAACTTCTACAGATTTAAGCAAAGACCATTTAAACAACTTGAACTCAAGAAAATCGAGTTTAAAGAAAAAGCAGGAAGAGATATATGCAAGAACAGAGAAATATAAAACCTTAAATCTTTTTGAGTTGCCTGAATCCTGGTTAATATAATTTGGACATATTTCTTGCGAGTTTTGTCCAAAGCCTTTTGCATTGAACTGATCAGTGTACATCTGCCTTCCATCACACTTTGTATCTACTTCTTGTATAAATCTTCTACAAGAGAGATGGGCACAAGTAAATTTGTTTTACTCTTCTAATGCTTTCTCAGGAATATGATGTTGTTTGGGCGTGCGTTTTGTTTTGGTTTTGGTTTGGTTTGAGTTTTTGTGATTTTGAGGGGCTTCTTGGGTACCTGTTTTTTGTGCACTTTTTGTTTGTTTTGGGCTTGGGAGGGTTTTTTGTTTGGTGTTTTGGTTTTGTTGCTTTTTTGTTTTACTTAAATGCAGAAATGTCAAAATTTTAGATGGCAGTGTTTATTGTGCTCTGACTTCTCAAGCTTCTACAAGATCTTAGTCCTTGACAATTTTCTATGTAACACGTTTTTTCCTGCTATGTCTCGCTTAGATGTTTTAACAAATCTTTTGGATATGTATGCGTTTTTAATGTGCTTTTGTTATCGGTGGGGCGAGAGGGGTGTTAGATATACTAAGTCCAGTTGTAATGCATACAGAATTAATTTCTCTAAGGCTATTTGTGTGATCTTCTGAAAGAAACCTTACTAGTCTGACACTGAATTCTAATTAATTTCTGTAGAAAGTTGCTCTGTCTTCTTGAATGATAACACTTGGTGTATCAACCTTTTTCATACTTTTAAATGTTTTTTTTTCCATTACTGCATTTTTGGACTTTCTGTTAGTGGTCCATGATCTGCCAGTCAGTGGTTCGTAGATCTGCTAGTAAGAATATCAGTTGTCATGTGAGCAAAACAGTGATTTTATGTGGGATCTCTTTGGTGAAGTTTCTATGAGGCATAAGGATTGTATACAAAGTGTATTCTCTAAAGAAATAAACAAGCCCCAGATTTTCTGTATTACTATTTTAGCTTTTAGCCTCTCCATGCCACTGTTTCCTCATTTTTAAATGATCTAAAAAGTTGGGGAAAGAAGAGAGAACAGGC